TGAATGTATGTCTGTAAGTTTGGTATCAAATTGTAGATTATAATTCAAATTTTAATATTATATATTAGTTAGCATCTTAATTTAAAAGTAAATATTAAAACAAAATTACTAAATATCAATTTTTGTGTGTCACATGGTATGTTGAATGTAGCTTTGGTTCAAATTAGATGTTTGTGATGTCCAAATACAAAGTCTATATTTTCTTACAAATTAGGAACTGAATTTATCAATATAAATAAGAATATAAAATAAGAACCTCCTATTAGCAAATCAAACACATTGGCCCTGCCCACCTCTTCCATTTTTGGAAATACTTGCTTACATACGCCTACTTTGCTCTATCATGTCTTTATAACCAATCATAAGCTCAGAATTTCCTCCATGTGGTTTCAAAATGTCTATTCCCAAGGTTAATCTAGACGTCCAACTGAAATGGCATTGGGTTCCTCTTTGTTGAAAAAATGGTGGCTATTGTATGACAGGAGTTGGAGTCTTTCATGTGGTGTGGACTTTCTTCTGAACTTGATATACCTCCTTCAGTGATTCTCATTCATGACAAAGGGATTTTGAGTCTTTTCTCGCTATCTACATTTGAAAAATCTACTAATTCTGTTATGGATCTGCCTAGGCCTTTTTTTGCAATGGTTTCTCAGGTCTGTCACCTTCTCTTTTTCTCTCTACTGTTTCATGTGATTCTTCTCCTTCCTTTCTTAAATCATTCCATGCTTCTGACTTTCCTGTTTTTTCTCCCTCTCCATATATTCAAGTCCAAATTGGACAATTTTTATCTCAACTTTGCTATGGTGCAGGCATGCCTCATCCTTCTTGCCTTGTTTTCCACATTTGGTTTGGCTTAACATTGGACTGTATTCCCTTTCTGGGACTCACAAACTCTGGAGTCTCTTCTTCAGGCTTGGAGTGTATGATCCACAATCTTATTTTTGACTTTCTCAGGTCCATATTTCATGCCTTCATCTTACTCTCATTACCCTGTTGCTTTCTTTTTCCTACCTTCCCCTTCTTTTTGAAGCACTACACTGTGCCCCTTTGTGGCTTTTGGCAGATACTCATTCCCTTTTCTACATTTGTGCTTTCTTCTTCCTCAGTTATGTACCTTCTGACATAGTTGCTGGGATTCGTTGGAGAAGGGACACCTTTTTTGTTCAGGTATGTTTACCTTCCTTTTATCTCGGGGATCTTTGTCTCTCTCCTTTCCTCCACCAGGGTCTTTCTGATGTTGTACCTTATTCTATGAAGTTGTGGGTTGAAGCCATGACTCAATATTCTTTCTTGTCCTCCCTTTTCTCCCATCTTTTCATAGGTCCTTGTTTTCCCATTATAGTTTCCTGTCCTTCTACATCTTCTCTCCTTTTCCTCTCCCCATTATTTCTTTGTGCATAGTTCTCAGCACCGGTAGTCTTGTTGGTGACTATCCTATAGACTCAGGGCTAGTAGGGGCCCATTTGGCTTAGTTTGCTGATCTATGGTTTCCACTTATGTCCTACTATTGTGTGCTACAAGTTTTATCAGAGGGTCTTATTCTTTATCATTTCCTCTCCTCTTCCACTTCTCATGTTCCCATTCCCTATCCTCTTCCATGAAATCCTGTGTCTTGTCAGCATCTTTCAGTTGTGGTTTCAAACATGTTGGTTAAGGATGTTATCATGAGGGTTTCTCATCCTTCTCAAGGATGTCTATCCATCTCACCAGGACTCCTATCAATGTACTCTTCTGTTTCAGGAGGCAGCTTGTTTTGGTTGGTGGGTCGGGCTGGAGGGGTCTCATCTCACACCCACTAAGTATCTGGTGCACTTGATTGTATTCTTCATTTCCCATCTCTGTGGAACACAGCTTTCTCTGTGTATGGGAGGTTTTCTCCCTTTTGGGGGACTTGGGCTTCCATAGCACCCTTTATTCCCTTGGGATGTGCTCATGGATATCTTTTACAATGGACTCTACATGATCCATGGAATCTCTTTTGTGATCCCTTCTTCGTCTTCCTTCTTCCCTATATGGCCTTTTCACCTGCTGGCTCAACAGAATCATTACTCCAGAGAATGTTCCTTTTCCTCCCTCTAGTCAGTATCTTAATCTTTTTAAAGATTTTTTTCCTTGATGCAGTGGGATGCTTGTTTTTACTCCTTTGTGATTTTGGTTCACTGGAACTTGGAGGAATTGCCCTTCACATCAACTTTTTAGAGATCTTAAAGGTTTGACAGGCTTTGGATAATTTCCTTCCATTGGTATGTGGCCATTTAGTAATGCTTCATGAAGACAAACTACTCTGTGGTATCCTATGTCAGTTGCCAGGGGGACACTCAATCTCACTTTCTCTGTTTCAGAACCTTCAACCTCCTCTTCTGGTCCCATTCTCTGCACGTCTGCTGGGTGTCTTAAATCATGTCTAGGATTCTCTCTCTCATGGCCAGACAGTATTTTTCCCATGGAGTGGTCCCGCAAGTTTTGTGTTCTTTTGAGGGCTGTACTCTTGTCTGGGCATGCCTCACATTGATGCCTTAACCACTTAATACAATACCAAGCTTCCCTTGTTTTGGTCTCCTGTTTCACATACATCAGCTCTAGTGGTAGATTCATTTAGTCTGGACTGATCCAACTTCTTCCTTTAGGTTTGATTTCCTCTTCGTCTTCTCCATAATTTGGGACATTCCTTGTCGGGTCATTCTGGTATTGCCCTTCTGGCCAGCTCTATCATGGTTTCCCCTGTTGAAACTTCTTTTCCATTCTTCTGCTGTCAAGGCTAGTGGCGATCAAAAAAGTTTGCATATAGAGGGCAGCATTGAAATGGGAAAGGAGGTGAGTATCTATCGGAAATATATTCGAATAAAGTGTTGGAAACTGTTAACTTTTGAGCATAGGTTTTCAAATTGTAGTCTGTTGGCCCTTGGGTGTGTCTGTGAGATATCAGCCTGTATGCTACTAGAAAATCATAGTTGCAGTTTAATAGAATTTAATTATAGTTAAGGCTGTCAAAGGTTAGAGGGTTCATCAGCTGGCATTCAAGCAGTGTTAGATTTTTATTTTCTTGTTAACAGAAACTGTCTGACAGTGTTTAAATGTCACTTGCATGGACAATTTAATATTTTGATTTGAACAATGCCCACTACTTAAATAAAAGTTGTATTAAAAAAAACATACCACCAAAACATGTAGCAGTTACATTATTATATAATCAAATTTTTATTATTACTCTTATTTGTTTTACCATGTATATATTATTATGCTCATTAGGTATGCTTACTTGATAATTCTGTGTTAACTTGCTTTAAATGGTGACTGTTAAATAAATCTTTGTTTTGCCTAAGTCATCTTCAGTTCTTTTAACTGGCAACAATGGTGTACTTTTGGAATGCAAGCTTACTGATTGTACTGTTCTATATAACATATTTTTAAACTATAAGGGAATGTTTTATTTCATATGGATTACCTGTAAAGTGAAAGGTTATTTTTTTGGTCAGATATAAACTTGCAGTTATGGTGATGTCATCAGTAAATTATGTAAGTTAGTACAATTGAAAACTCAAACCTTTGTTTGGTAACATTTTCTGAACTTTCGAAATTCAAATTTATCTGTCATTACAGCCCTAATTATAATTGCAGTATGGTGTTCACCTGTGTCAGGATCAAATTTTGAAAAGGGAATCTGGGACATAAAAATTTGTGAACCCTGCTGGCTAATTCCGATTAATCAGTTTTATGGCTATAACATCTCTGTCATGCATACACATTCAATGGCTGCTATTTTCTGTTTGGGATCAGTATAACTTTATCAGTGAAGAAACTCAGTTTAGTACAGTAAATTAAAATAGTTGCAATTACACAGTAGGCTTGAAAATTAATCTTGTATTGCAATATATGACTTTTTATTTTAATATTGCATGTTATGTTTCCTACTTTTATCTGTCTTTTTCTTTTGTAGAACTTCTCTCTCAACTTTCTGGTGTGCGACGTTCGTCCAACCTAAGCCAATCTAACACCACTACTCAGCTACAGCAGCTTCAGATGCAACTTCAACTAGAGAGACAGCAGGCTGCTCGACAACAGGTGGAGCGTTTACCTCGTAGACAAAACCAGACAGGAACTGCTGTTCAGTTCAACCAAGCCCTTTATTCTGAGCCAACAACTAGTCCTGCTTCATCGGCTTCAAGCTCTCGGCTTTTACTTTCAAGGTAAACTTTTATTAGAAATTGTCTTGCTTAAAGATTAATTTTAGGTAGTCAGATTCTCAAAAGTTTATGAATTTTTTTACAGATTATATAATTTCCATTATTTTTTCAACAAGTTTATTCACATCTATGGGCTTTTCAGAACTTGCAAATTCTATCATCAACATACACATGACCTATAAATATGTATATTCTGAAACGTCCATTGGTGTGATTAAAACTGTTGACAAAAATGTCTACTATATGTGTCAATAAAGTAATGATTTGTCATTCAGTTCTTCATTTTTGCATATATGGTTTCTGAGTGAAAAAGTGTTTGGATTATAATTTCTGTGTTTATTAGTAGGGCAAGTGTATTGTTGTAGTTTAATTTGTTTAAACAGTGAAATTGACTCACAGACATAGGCTTTTAAGACTGAGAAGCTTACTAAATGAAACTTATGACTTATCTGATCCTAAATTTAAATTTTGTTTGTTATATTTGAACAAAACATTATTTTCATGCAAGGCAGTTATTAAATTATGTACTGCACCTGTGAATTGTTTCAAACTAAAGTCTCTTTGAAATAATTTGAATATTTAAGATTAATCAAAATTATAATCTAAATTGAAGACATGAGAGCTGTTCACTACTTTATAAAATGGAGTTAACTTTTAAAAAGGTATCATGAATTATCATATTTGTGTGGTCCACTACTCATTAGTGGTTGTTGTTTTTCAACTACTTCACATTATTAGACTATACCATCTTTACTTGCTATGATCTCAATTCATTTAATAAAGTATAGCCTCAGTCAAGAGTTAAATAACTCAGAACTTAAAAGAGAAGTCAGAACTTGCCTAAATAACCAAAGCTGTCACAAGATGTTACTGGGTGCAAATAATACTGAGTGCTTGCTTGGATATAAAATGGCACAAAAAAGTAAGGCATTTGTCACATTCATAAGATATCACACAGGTCTGAGGGACAGTAATGATGGGTAAAGATAATAGAATAAGACAAACTAGTTAGCAAAACCTTAGACTTTGATAATTTTTTTAACAATCATTATTCTGTTTTTTTTTTGTTTTTTTTTTTTCAGGAATAATATGACACTCCCATTCTCAGTACAAATTATAATTAAGATTTTAAAATGGTGTTTGCTAAAATTGATTTTTTTTTGAATTTATAAAAACATCATTGAGGTTTATTACCAGGTTCATTGCTTTATTTTTGCCATTTTCAAATCTTTTAACTTGCCGATTTCTTCCCCTTTCTTTACTATTATGAGGTTCTATCCTGTTGTTTTTGGCTTTCTTGTAAGTGTTTTTGGAAACATTCTAAAGTGAATTGTTGTTACATTGACAAACTGACACACACATATGTTTCATTAAAAGTTTCGTGATCCATTTCATTGTTAACTGTTTTCTCCAGGTATACGGAGCCTGGTATAACTGAAACAGAACAGCAAGCACTCGATGTGGATCATGCAGACCGTAGTATTTTTGTTCAAGAGTTACTACTAGCAACACTAGGAGAGCAACTTTCTAACGATGATGACTTGGACACTATTATAGGGAAGTTAGATCTAAGTGTTGCTGAGTATGCTCAAGAAGGAAGTAATTCTGTTGCTGTACCATCTACTAGTGATGATTCAGAAGTAAGTAGCACAATCTCACTTGAAGGCTCTAATCAATCTAGTTCTTCCTCTGTACATCTCCATCAACAAAAACACACAGTGCCATCTACACAGCCATCTCAGACAACCCAACAAGTTAACTCCAGAGTACTGAGAAAATCACCTGGCACCTCCTCAGCCAGACAGACATCCCGTATCAATATGAACAATAGCTCCAGCAGTGGTCAACCTCACCGAGAAAATACAATGCAACAACCACCTTCAGGTCCCAGAGCAGGAGCTATTGCCCTTTCACATCGAGGACAATCAAGGGAAGGGCCAGCTTCAAGTCGAACTGTAAACAGAAATCCAAGTCGTGAGGGAGGCACTTCCCCTTCTTCTACCCGTAGAAAGGTGTTGAAACATGTAGATGATAGAAACAAATCCAACGAGCCTCCTCCTCCTCACTGATTAACTATATTTTAGGAAAGATGTGGCTACATCTTTAACCATAAGGGAAATACTTTTATCCCTTTAGAGTCCTTAACCTCCAGTTATTTTATTTGAAGCTCAGATTTGGCCCAGAACATTATAATACCTGTGATTTGTTTCTTTTAGCTTGATTCTTTGTGTTTGTGTATGAATGGATGTATCCTTTATCAAAGTTACGTTATTTGGGGACATCTAATTATGAAAAGTATAAACCAGACATGAACATTTTTAGCTAGATTATATAGCTATGTCTATCGTTGGAAGGTTTTGAATGTTTCTCTACAGTGTGGTTAGTTTCCTTGTTGTTTTATTGAGCTAGCTTGTGTTTAGTTTTGTGTTTATAACTGATGACTTTCAGCACAATTATTAAACGAAGAATGTGGAAAAATATAAAAAAAATCTTTTGCTGATTATTTTAAGTAAATGTTAGGGAAAAGGCTCTGCTCTATTTTGTTATGAGTAATATGGAAAAGTTTTCCATCTTCCTGTAGAAATCAAATGTTGTAATCAAATATTTTCCCCAAATATTTGCTTTATAATATAGTTGTTGACATAAAAAACACACTTTTGATCAGCACTAATCTGTGTTAACACATCACTTGTACAAAAAAAAGAGTATAATGTATGTCAGTTTGAAACTGGGTCATTTTTTTTGTAAGCTTGTGAAGAAAGGGCACTAGTCATGATGAAAAAAAAGGTTTGCTAGTATTAACGTATTGTTTCAAAGGAGGTGTCTAAATAGTGAACTTGTGTCAAGAAGTAAAAACTTATCTGTTGACAGAACTTGTTTAATGGTTGGATGATGTACAATGTATGTTTGAGTGATTAATCTTTGCCATTTCAGGAAACGCTCTTTCCTATGTAAAGTTAAGGACAGGTGCCAGATGAAACTAGGCTTAAAAGACTGTGCATGTGTATGTGGCTATACATATATATATATTAATTTGTATGTTGAGTAATGGTTAACAAGTATCTTGTTAGCTTTATGGCTCAACAAGTGTGTAAAAAGTGTGCCTGCTTTTTTGCATGTGTTATTCATGTAAGAGTGTGTGTGCATGCATTCATGCAATCAAGTTGCCTTGAATTAGGCTTAAGTAGTAGTGATTATGTAGGGGTTTAATTTAAATTGTTGTATTAGTCTTCACACTGCTAGAAAGTACTCAGACTCTTCAAAACAATTTGTATGGTGAAAGAAACATTTTAGTGACTAATTGTAAGGTTGCCATTCCTGACATCCAAATAAATAAAAGTAGTTCAAAAAAATCTTAATAGAACAAAGATATTGAGAAGTTTTTCTTCAAATCTCTGAACTTCAACCAAGATGGAACTTGTATTCCTTGTAAGTCATGAAATTGATTAATACATTAGAATCTCTTGATTGTTTATCATATGTATATATATATATATATATATATATATATATATATGTACGTTACGGTTAAACTTTTAAACGTTTTTATTTTAGTTAGTAACGTAATAGTAGTAATTAAAAG